AAGCTGGCGCATCCCTAAACATTCCAGAAGATAGTAAATAGCTGTGCCTGGGAACTAGTGATCAGTCTGAGAAGATTTCTGTAAACAGGCGCTGGCTAATAAATCTTGCTGATTGAACCTGCATGGTCTCCAGGAGCTCTTTGGGCTAGGCCTGACACCAGATGTTGATCAGCATTTGGTTTTAATACAGCAGTGCTTATAATACTTGGACCCATTTTTAACTAAACCTTCCTCAAAGTCCTTTTTCAACAGGGGCCTAACTTTCTTTTAAGTTGGCTATTATATAACATCTTCAAAATATACTTTCCAGTATATCCTATTTCTCACTATACTTTTTAAAAGGTTATATACAGTGAGTCTCTAGAGAATTGAAAAACATAATTCATGGGAAAGACGATCTTATCCCTTCCTAGGAAATAGATTCCATATTACCAAGATAAGTCTCTTTAGCCAGCTCTGCATTTTAGCAAAACAATGGTGTGGATGTCTTTTAGGATTCAGATATTTCTAGTTAAGTGCTTCTCTGTCCATCCCTTGCAGCTGTTGCTATTGCTTCCGCCGTCGCTGGCAGAAACGCCGCTCTTCTACTATAGTTGATGGACAAACCAAAGTGCAAGAAGAAGCTCCAGCTTCTGCTGATGGCACTGCCCTTGTAGCCTCCGAAGAACATCATTCTCTCCCCTTGCCCTTTTCTACTTCTGAACATCCTGACAATGAAGGGGACATGTTTCCATTTCCTTCCAAGCTAGAACCACAGGCTCTTCCTGGGCTTGCAAATCCTGCTACCAGAAGCCTTGTGTTGCCATAGCCCTCACCTGCTTTGATAATTTTCAATAAATTATTGTCCAGGAAGTAGCCTTGGTCCAATTGTTTCTTCTGATAGGCTAACTTGAGGCTAGTCCCCATTCGCTACCTTGCTCAGACCTTCATCTTCTATGGTCCTCTTCTGCTGTATTTTTTGCTAATTTATTTCCACACCAAGAAGCGTAATGGTTTTGTGTTCCTCAGTGATGACAGTCCATTGTACCTTACTATACGAACAAAATAATTATCATAGGCTAGCAGCTTGGATAAATTCTGAGCTGAGTGTTCATTTCTAGTTGGTATGCATGTTCATTTCATTTGAAGTTGAGCAAGGTCTTAGTAGTTGCATAGAGTAAAACATCTATAGTAGGCAAGGGCTCCAGCCTTCTTGTGAGAAAGCCTATTTCATCTATCCAGGCAGAATCAGCTATTCATGAAGGTTCTAATGAGGCAGCCATATTTCTGAGTATTACTCAACCAGGGAGAAGCAAACCAGCAGTTACTACATTATATGTTGATCAGTACAATCTGTGGCTGCTCTTCTAATAATTTCAGCTACCCACTACTAAAATTCTAGAAAAAAGAGAAAACTTGGAAATATTGGAGGGGGAAGTTGATTTTGTTTCCTAATCAGTTTTGCTTGATTTTACTAACATCTAAAATAGCAGACTCTTCTCCTAGACCTAATGAATAATGGCTTCCTGTTCTGCAGTATAAGGGGGAAAATGACATATCTTTTCTCGGAGGATATGCAAAAGCCTTGAAACCGCTACTGAGAAAACTTTTCTCCTCATGGAAGTCCTGAATGCAACCCAGAAAGTCCATGAGGGTACAGCTCTTTTCAATAATTTTAGCTGAGGTCTATGAATGGCATATGCCTTATTTTTAACCCAGTATGAGATACTAAAAATCTATACATTTTGAATCTATTGATCTAGTAAGAATAATCTACCTCAAATCCTGCCCTGATTCTCTTTAAAGCACTTTCCTCAAAATATAAAGAGTCCTTCTTTCAAAGGGAGATATTACCAAGTGAGGTGTATTGTACAACCATGTTGCTTTTCAAATCCAAAAGTAATATGATTAGCTGAACTAGTGAGCAAGAACATAGTGTGTGTTTTGTCAAAATAAGTATATACAGGGTATATGAAAAGTCAGGTCCCATAGACAACGTATTATATCAATTACATTAAATGTTCAAATTGTTTGCCGTCTAGATACTACTAAAACTCTCCTGTCTGTTTGTCTGTTTGTAACCTTCATATGGCTGAAATGGTGCATCATAGGGCAACAATTTTTGAAGCAAGGTACCTCAAATGGGCTAACTTAAAGAATACATCCCAAATCCGGGACCCATGGCTCTCGTGGAATTGAAATTACTTTTTTTTTTTATAATAGCTTTATTAAATTTTAAAAAGCAGAAGGATAAAAACTAGCACGAACTAATAATCAAGAAAAAGGATAGACAGAAAGAAAGCTAGATGTAAAGAAAGAAAACAAAAGTGCTGAAAAATAGAACAAAAAAAACAAATACAAAAAGAATGACTTCCGACTTCTTATACAGCAGATATAAACAAAGCATAAAATAACCTCTTACTCTAAAACTACATCTTAACATACATTTTTCCATAGTCTATTAATTTTACTAATATCAAATCCATATATCATAATTTCATTTTTTTCTGTTTCCTGCAAAAAGTCCAAATGGAACTGAAATTTTAAGGATCTTCGTATCAGTTCTATTTGCAAAGTTGTGGCCACTGCAGTGTCACTGCAGTTAGCCACAGTCACATGATAGTGATTTCTGACTATACTTCCCAGAAACCCATAGGTTGTGTGGCACAAAGGAAGATGAGAGGGTCATATCCCCAACTCCTTTCCCGCCTCCCTCTGGCCCCTGCGCCCAATCAGCTGGTGGCAAGGCCTGAAGTGATTCGCTGCTTTGGAATTGAGGCTGAAAACTGAAATCTCTTAATGGCAGCGGGCAGCAAGGGAAGGACAAGGGGGTGACTCGGATGCCTGCTGGCGAGGTAGGGATGGCTGAGGGGTGCAGGCAGTTGACGGGTGAGCCCTCTTCCTCCCTGGAGAGAGGGAGCCTTGAGGACGCGCCAGGATGGGGAGCAGGGGTACAGTTTTCCTCATGGTCTGCGGCTCCCTTTGTTCCCCATCCCTCCAGCAAAGTAGCAGGCAGTTCCACGGGTCAGCCAAGGAGGAGGAAGAGGCTTCACCAGGCCTTTGCTGAGAGTCATGAGTGGAGGGGAAATGGTGCCAGCCTGTATTATATGTGGAAAGAAGGATGACCCAACAGGTCATGTGTTGTCTAGTTTTCTTCTAAACACTTCCTTATTTGTTTGATGTATGATCTTTGAACATTCCTAATACAACAACATTTTCTCTGAAAAAACAATAAAATGTACTGTGATTGGCCTACGGGACCTGACTTTTGGGATACCCGATATAATCTATTTCAATGAACATAAACTTGGATATCACTTGGAATTAAATCAACTATATTATAGGAAACAAAAGATGGAAAATGGTAATTCAGTGAGCCAGGAGACTTCTGGGCGCAGACTGTGGAACAGTCCATGAATTATTGGTGTCAAATATATGGGTTAAATTCAAAGAATTAGAGTAGGCATGTCAGCAAGGTGACAGACATTTATACAGAGAGAATATATTCAGGAACTGATTCTTCCAGAAAGTGATATGCAGTTGATCAGCTGTCAAACAAGAAAATCCCTCATTGAATTGTTTAAAAAGAAGAGATGATTTGCTAACAACTTGATGTGAACAAATATGAAACAAAATGGTGGCCTATTGGAAAAGATCAGTATACATACTTATACTGGAGAAAGGAGATGCAAGAGAATGTGTGAATTACTAAGTCATTGCACTAATACTAGCAGAATTCTGCTTAAGGTCTTAAAATAAGAATAGAGCCATACATACAGAGCAAAATGTGGTATGACAAGGACATGAGAACAGATAATTAATATAAAGTAGATAATGAAGAGAGCAAGATAATTTAAAGAGGAGGTTTATGCTATATTGATCACAACAATATCTTTGTGTAGGCCCTGCTGAAATTTGGGGATATGCGAAGACTAATTGTGCCAAAACATTCGATTATTTTTCTGAGAACTTTACAATGAGCAAGAACCTTACCTACAGTAAGAACTGAGAATCATTCAGAATAGGGGAGTTAGTGGGACAAGGATGCATACTGTTCCCCTACTGGTTTAATTTACAGAATGAATATATTTTAAGAATGGCAGAACTGGAAGTGGATAAAATAAAAAACAGAGGTCAAAAAATAGATGATACATCATGAAAGTAAAATTCTGAATAATGCCAAATAGTAAGAAGACAAAGACACTTTGCTCACCTTTGATAATAAAGAATTGAATGTGCTAGATAGAATAAGTCTGATAGGAGGTGATAGTTTTCCTAATTTCCTTAGGCTCAAGAATAGATAAGAACAGTGTGATGCAGAAGAAAGATTAATTCTAGGGATGAAGTCTATGACAAACTTAGACAAGATCATGAAGAGAAAACATTTTATGATATCAAAGATCAGAATATTAAAGCAGTGGCTTTCTCAGTGCTAATATATGACTGAAAACTAGAGAGTGAGAAAGGAAAAAATAGCTTCTGATTATGATTTTGAAGAAAGTTATAAGTTACTTCAAGAAGAATCAATCAGTCCTGAACCAAGTAAAAACTGTTGAGTCAATAATCAGTAAGCAGAAACTCACATACTTTGGGCACTCGAAGACAGAGATGATCATAGGTTAGGGGAAAAAAAGCAAATATGTCATTTTGGTTTTATTTGATAATACAGTATGCCTAAATGTCTTGCCATAAATTAAAAAATAGGAAACCTCTGGGGCCTTCCACATGTTGTTGAACTGTAATAGGTTGTTATTAAAGTTGTTGAACTATAGATCCCAACATCTTTCACTATTGGACATCTGAGTTTAACCTGCTGGCATTTCTTTTAAGCAGCATCTACCAGCTTTCTCAGAGATACATCTGTGGCAAGTGTGACTTGTAAAGTCCAAATCAGCTTTACTCTAGCCTGGAATGATATACTATCTTGGGGTGCTAATGAACTGTATAATTGTTTTCACATGACTTCAGATTCTAAATCAAAATGATCTAGAAGAAGCCCACTTTTCACACAGCTGCCGGCTAGGTAAATGTGCCTGTGCGTAGGTATTACAAGAACAGACATCTGAAGTTCATATGCAACAGTAGAAGGTTCTAGCCATGTCAGGAAAATCCTTTACAGAATTTTAAATCCTTTAACATTTTATTAGTGTGGCTAGTTTATTTTTACTTTGTTTCCTTATGCAAGCACAAATAAAGTTAAATATAAATTAAACTTCTAAAAAAGCTTTGGCTGTTAACAGGTAACGTTAGACTTGTGATCCTGGTGCACAGGGCACCTAGTATGGCAGGGGTTATACCCACTTAATACGGTTGCAATCTTCTGTTCAACCAAAGAGGGAGTCAGTATCGCAACAGTAGCTAGACAAACAAAAACTAAACATAGCAACAGACAAACACTGCTGCAGAATCCCTGGAAACCACTGGCAATGTCCAAGCATGATATTTGTTATCATTGATACCCTAAATTACCAGACAATGCATGGCAATCTCTAAAAGGCACCTTGTGATCATACACCAGAGAGAATCATCAGTCATATGTTCTTTAGCACAAGTTGCAGGTCTACATGGATACGAAATTTGCATAAGAAATCTAGCAAATTCAAGCCCTGAACAGAGTTACCTAGGGATAGAGGACAAGAAGGCTGGGTCTTAGGCTCAAAGGGACTTCAAATTTGTGCACTTGCTGGTTGTTTTATGAAAATAAAAAATTCTAAGTACAGTATAATTTGGATTGTTTTTTAATCTCTTGTATTTTTAATTTTAAAAATTATGACGATGGGTCTAAATTTCTGAGATGGCCTGAATCAAATTTCTAGTATTCTGCATGCAACATATTTATATTGTTTTCTGTATGAAGTATTAGTATTTTGCAAGAGAGAAAGTGTGGAGCCATATGCACAAGGAAGAATAGAAATACATCAACAAGCAATTGTTATCTCAAAGGGAAAGGACAATGAAGTAGGAAAGAGAAAATGTCCTGAACATAGTTAAAATACAAGAAACTGGGGTAAACTCTAAAACAGGTTCAATATAATGGGTGGGTAGCCCCCTATCACCCAAAAGTCATGCCACCAAAATTCAGCAGCAATTATTGCTGAATTTTGGTGGCATGATTGTAGCTGTTTTTCAGGACGTACGGTGCTTTTAAGGGTTGGAACGGGAGCAGTTTGCCTTTGGGAGGGCTCCTCTTCCCTTTGCCATTCTTAATCCCCTCCAAAAGACTAAAATACCACCACCCCCGCCACACACACCGCTACATTTCCTCTGTTGTAATATCACTGGATGATCTCTGTGGCTCTTCAGAAGGTCAGGAAGATGAATTGTGGCCTCTGGCTTAAAAGAACAAAGACCTTATAGTTCCTTTCAAACATGCAGGAAAAAACAGAAATCTAGACACTGCTGTTTACATCATCATCTTGTCCTCAGCACCTTCCCAAAGATTACGTGCAGCCATCAGCTACCAAAAGGTTGCCCATTCCTGACTAAGGACACTTTATAGGCTCAAGGAAACAGGAGCACGATCTGTTAATTTTTTCAAGAATAGAAACTCAGCACACCTGTAGTTTATGTGTCTTGCATCTGACAGGCTCTGTTAATTTCCTCATTTCCTATGCAGCAGTGATAAATACAGCACCCATCTGCCAGCCCTTGATAAAGAGCGTACAGAATGTGTTGCTAATGGGGAAAAGAATAAATGGGCCAGAACTGAGGCTGCATTCCAGAAAATAATGTCCAATATTTATCTTGTTAGCAAGGGAGGCAGGTTAGATAAATACACTGCTGGCAGAAATTCAGGTAACAGGATTTTCAAGTATTGTTTTGCTCTGGTTCAAATATTCATCTAAATCACATGCTGGCTGGGGAATTGTGGGAGTTGATGTCCACACATCTTAAATTTGATGAGGTTGAGAAACATGGATCTCAATTCTCAGTTTTGATATGATGATTCAAGCACTCATCAGCAACATAGAAGGTTAGAGCTTGTAATCTGATGGCATGTTTCTATAACTGCTCAAGCATACTTTTCTAGGGTGGTCAGTTGTTCATTGCTATTGTTGTTATGACTACCTTTTACCGTAACTTACCTTTGCACTGCCTACGGACATTAGTAGATCCTATTGATTAATTCCTGATTCTATGTAAAAAATTATCTGGTGATTTCAGTGGATCTAGTAGCCAGTAGAAGTATACAAGCAAACAAAGCTGCTGCTTTTCATCTGGAACCCTATCAGGAAAATAGGCTTGGAATCTGAATGAGTACAGCAAATAGTCTCAATAGAAGCATTTCTAGACAATTAGCTGAGATACAGATAGAAAGCATTGGAAACCAAATCACTATATGGTTCATGAGAAAGTGATTGATTCCAACATAACCAGATTACAGTCCTTCTGTGATCCAAATATTGCACTTAGGGCCTGATGCAAGACAAATCAGTCTTGGAATTACACTGCCGCTGGGGAAATATGTTTGTAAATAGGCCTGCATTTTTTTCTATGTTGAAATATAGCCTAGGGCACTTTAAGCAGAAGCTTTCCTAAGTAATTGTGGAGTGAAATACAGTCCAGAAAGAACATCTGCCACATTCTACAAAACACTTAGGTGGTGGTGTTTTTGTTGTCACAAACTAATCTATTCCTCTGGAATATTTATACTGACTAGCATGGTGTTTGGTCATTCATGAAAGGAAAAACTCCTTCCATTTATAAATGAAATCACCAGGATTCAGCAAAGATGCAGCATTGAAGGAAAGGGACAGGGAGCAGATGTGATCTCTGCTGATTCCCACTGTTGCCTCTCTGCTGCTCCAAAGGATTCCCTTACTCGCCACAACTTTTCATGGTACAAGGTGCTACAAGGAAGGAAGGAACATTTTCCTGTTTCTTTTTCCAGCATGAGATGAAGTCTGGTGCTGAGTTTTCTAATGACTTGGGTCATTCATATCTGGCCTTTGGACCATCTCATCAGGAATCTGGCAAGTGCATGGATTTCTAAATGGACCCAAATGGTTCCATATTCAACTAGAACCTTTATCCAAGTGTGGAACTGGTGAGTATACTTTAAAATTAGAGATTTCCAAATTCCTTCTCTGCCCCAGGCCTGAAACATAAACCTGAAGGTTTGGAGCTCTGTGCCATGAGAGCTAGTTATGCAGCTAGCTGAACTCTGAAGTGGCCTCTTTGTTCCAAATACTGATCATTCATCTACAGGGACTACATATTTCAATTGCCGCCCTGCCCTGCCCTGCCCTGCCCTGCCCTGCCCCTGCCCTGCCCTGCCCTGCCCTGCCCTGCCCTGCCCTGCCCTTCTTCCCTCCCTCCCTCTGCTGCTTAACTTTGTTTTCCATAGGTGGTTCTCCAACTGATGCAATCGGTAATGCTCACTTAACACTCAGTTCCATATAGGTGATGGTGGAGGCCCCAGTTCATGATCACTGCAAGTAATCAGGAGCTTTCCCAATTTCTCAAAGGGAATGTTCCAGAGAGATATTCCTGTTTTCCACCATGAAAGTTATCAGGTGACAGCATTCTTAACGTGGAGATGAAGCTATAGGGGTCACTAAATCTCCACTCTGCTATTTTGGTCAATAATATAGTAGCCCCACTGCAATGACTGGTTGGACATTCTATATGTGTATCTTTTTTTTTTTTTTTAATTTCAGGAGTTACTTAATCCCTGAGAGGATTCATTAGAGATATAAAATTCATAGATCCAGGAATTAACCACACCATTCCTGGGGATAGTTTGGCAGTTTCTGATACTTAATCCTCCAACTGGGAAGTGATTGAGGTATTCTGTGGGTAGTCTGCCTCGAAACCAGCCTGTTTCCCCCAGAACATTATGTCTGGAGCTTCTCAAACTACTTCTGGTTTGGATGATTTACTTGTAGAAACTGTCTAGCCCTGATTGTCCCCCAGAGTGGCATGATCTGTAGGAGATTCCGCATGGAAGAGAGGGGAAAGGACCATTCTGAAGTTCTCCAGAATATCCCAGTCCCAGATCGATGAATGTTATACGTGCCAAGGGTTCAGTAAATGCTATAATACTGCAATGTATGTTTCTTTGCAGGGGTTAGTGCAGGTAGGGCCTCTGAGCCCTATTTTTTTAAAAAAAGTATTATTATCTTTTGCAGTTGCCTTTGATCACTCAAAGGAAATATTTCCACATCTCAGTGGTGCAACTGCTGAAATTGTAACATATTTCCAATTTTAAGCAGATAAAATTTTTGTATAAACCTTAGGATTATTGGAAAAGAAAAAAAACCCTATAATATCTTCCAAACCTTAAAAAGAAAAATCTTAATATATGATGTACTCTACCTTTTTCATGTTATAGTTATTGTGCCCTCAGTACACTCCCCCCCCCCCAAAAAAACCCTTATTCCTTCATTCTCCATCTAAGCTATTCAATAAGCAAGGTTTTCTGAGTGGATTAGAAAATTGTTTAAAACATTGAGTTTCTAAAAATATACTTTTTAAAAAACAACAGCAGCAACAACCAAAACATAAATAGAATTAATAAACAGCACAGGAAAGAATGAAAATTAAAATATTTACTGTTTTAGTGTATAGCTGCACTTAACAACCAAACTATATGAATGCTTTAAAATCCTACCCAAAGCCTTTGAACATTCAAAGTGTAATATGTCACAAATGACACTGGCTCATATGCTTTGGGCTTATTCTACACGAATACAATTTTGATTTGATATTTAGGACATTGGTGTCAGGCCTAGCCCAAGGAATTCCAAGAGACCATGTAAATTCAGTCCAGCAATGTTTATTAGCTACAATTTCTAGCAAGAATCTTCCCAGACTGAAACCCCAGT